TATTTTTTTTTTTTTTTAGCCTGCCTGAGGCACACCCTGCTGGCGGACAAGTGCATGATTAGGTTTCTGTCCAAAAGTTGATTGGTACATTAAAACAGAGACGGGGCCTCGCTCTTGCTCAGGCTGGTCTCGAACTCCTGACCTTGAGCAATCCACCTGCCTCGGCCTCCCAGAGTGCTAGGATTACAGGCGTGAGCCACTGCGCCCGGCCAACATGTAAATCTTTTTAAAAGCTAAGTAAGCTTTGGCCAGTTTTAAAACCCAAGAATGTCTATCTTAAAGGCTTTGAAACCAACTCTTTGAAATGTAAACTTAGAGTAAGATAGAGCCCCAATCTCTCCATCTCTGTGAGAGTTTAGCTTAGGCACCTGATTCCACGTTGTAACTACACGCTTATCATAAATATAGAACTCTTTCATTTTTCCTCTGGATAAAGGCAATTACCTAATACAACCACACCAATTACCAGCGAATTTAGGATGAACTATGTGTAGCAAATGGTTCCTCTCACTTAAGTACAAATTATCTTAAGAACACCCACCTAATAAAAAATCGGTTGTCTCTGCTCGGCTACATAAAAGGGTTAGAATTTTTTCTGCAATCCCATTAGCAGATTGCCTGAAATGTGCGAGGCAATGTGGTTTAGTGGATTAGTCAACAAAACTGTTTAGTTCTTTTCTATAGTTGGGGAGAGGTGCTTCGTGATGGCAATATGTTTTAAATATTTCCCTAACAGCTTCCGCGACCTGAAATATCCCTCTAGAACATTCAGCAAACTGTTAAGACTTTAAAAGTTTTTAGAGTTTTAATGTACCAATCAACTTTTGGACAGAAACCTAATCATGCACTTGTCCGCCAGCGGGGTGTGCCGCAGGCAGGCAACTGTTACAATTTCCAATACACACACAAGTTGAGAGATCCTGGACCATGGTGACTCCAAGGTACCTCTCCTCTCAAGAGGCCCGGCCGAGTGCAAGCAGAATTGCCCGCTCTGGCGTCCCTTCTTCCAAGGCAACTACACGCGGAACTTCTATGCTCAGGCCCGGAACAGCCCTTCCACAGTCGGAGGAATCCCTTTGGTAACTACAAAAAGGCTCCAGGCAAGCTTTAAAGTGAGAGGCAATCGACCTGCTTTTAGGAAACCTATCCTCAGCTGTGACGCCTGACCACCAGGAAAGTTTAGGCAATTTTTCATTCCAGGGTTTTGAACAAAGAAGTGGAGACAGGGAGGCGGCTCAGAACCCTACACCCACACAAGTAAAGGGACCATCCGCCCTCCCCATCTGGGCCTCCTCTCCCTCTGTCTTGGCTCTTTATTCTACCCTGAGCACGCGGAAGCCACGAGAGCTTGCGCGTCTTCGGTCCCCGCCCGGCCCTGGGATGGCCCCAGTGCCCCGTCTCCGCCCACCTGCCGGGCACCCGGCGGCCTCACCTGCAGACCGTGAGGAACACAGCTTGAGCCGGCTGCCGCCTCTCCGCCGGCCCCGCGTCAGCCTGTAAATGCAGTAGCATGCGCCAGCACCGAGGACCAGGCCCGCCGCCACCCAGCCCACTTCCCGGGCGCCGCCCATACTGCCACCGGAGACGGGGCGCAGCGTAGGGCCCTAGCAGGAGGCTTGTGGGCGCTGGCGCTGGGGGTCTCCAACACCCGGAGGTCTTGTCGCCGCCCAGAGCGACTGGGCCGGGGACAAAGGAAATGGGGGTCCGAGCTCCGCCTCCCGGAAACGGCCCTGTTAAAATCGTAAAACCTTCCACCCGAGCAGACGCGTCCCTGTGGCTTCCAACAGGCGGGCCGGCCGAGGAGCTGGCCTCCGGGAGGAACTGCACGGACTGTGCGCCCCGCGCCGAGACGCCGGAGTGCGCCGCCAGAGGCTGGCTGCCCGCCCCATCTCCTGAGGCCCACCCCGCGGAGCCCGAGGCCCGCCTCCTTCCCCAGGCCAGGGGCCGGGGGAGCGTGAGGCTCCGCCCCGCCCCGTGGTTGCCAAGACAACGCTCGGACGCGCCCCGCCCAGCCCTACCGCGACGCCGGCTGCGCGGGTCGCGTGAATCCGCGGAGCGCACTTCAGCGCCGGACCTCGGACCATGGCTTCGCTACGCAGTGCCAACCCCGGGCTGAGGAACTACTTCAAAGCGAACTACATTCCTCAGGTCTGCGAGGTACTGGAGGCACATGGCGGCGGATAGGGACCGACTGAGGGGAGGTAGAAGCGGGAGGAGTCAGGAAGAGTTCCCGGAGGAGGGGCGAGGGGTGGGGGTGGGGGAGGAGTGAAGGGTAAGAGGAGTGGAATGGGGAAGGTGAAGTCGAATTTGGACTAGTCGGCGGTCTGGGCGGAAGGTTCAGATCTGAGAGAAGACAGAGGGGTGATTGTGGCAGAAAAGCGGGAAGTGGGTGACATCTCCCAGGGAGAAAGAGCACTGGGCCCGGGACGGAAACCCCATACTCCAGCAACTTTTAAGCTTTGGACAGGAAGAACCTGACGACCAGAGGAGGAGTGAGAAAAAAGTGCCAGAGACAGACAGAAGAGGAAAATCAGGAGAGTGTGGCATTGCGAAAAGTGTTTTAAGGAGGGAATGGGCAATGGTTACCCAAGATAAGGACCTGAAGGAGTTCTGTGGATTTTCTGCCCAAGGTGAGCCCGGGGTTTCAAAGGAGCGGTGAGGACAGAAAATAGATGGAGGTGAGCTGAGGAGAGAGCGGAAGCTGAGATGAGACTCTTAGAATGTAGCCGGCCCTTCGTGAAGGGAAAGACCCTCACACGCAGTTGCCTTTAGACAAGAGGAAGGCCTGCGCTCCTCCCCTATTATTAAGTATAGTAGGAGGGAAGGAGGATAGGATGGGGGCTGATAGTAGGTTTTGTCGGTTTGGGGGTAGGAAGCTGAGAAAGTTGTTCTTGGTTGACTTCTATTTTCTCTACAGATAGTTGGTGAGGTATTTGCCAAGCATGTGTGTTTGGGTGGGGATGGGGGTGGCGGTGCAGTAGGAGGTTTAAGCAAAGACAAGTTATATGGAGAATGAGGGAGAGAGCTGTCTAGGGAAGGAAAGAAGAGAGCCCCGCTGGGTGTGGTAACCCTTCTATGTAGTTGGGAGGGCTATTCGGTACAGCCCTCCTCTTTTTGGGCGGTAATTTAGAAGTATTTATTAAAATGTTAAGTACATACACCCTTTGACCAAGCGTTTCCACTTCTAAGGATCTACTTTAGAGAAATACTTGCACATATATTCAGAAGGATGTACAAGGATATTCATTATAACATTTTTATAGTGGAAACAGTAAATAATGGAAATGTGACTAAGAGAATGAGATATGTAGGATAAAGTATTTCTGTACCTACCGAGAAGAAATGCCCTCCAAGGCATATTATTAAGTAAAAAAGAAAAAGTGCAAGTTGCCTAGCAAAAAGTCCACTATGCTCTAGCTATCTATCTGATTTCATACATACATATATATGTATATATTTGTATACGTGTTTGTGTGTATACCTATCTATATTTAAGACAAGAATGCATGCATAGAACGTATGCCAAACTATTAACAACAGTTGTTTGGGGGATGGATTTATGGGAGGAGATAAAGGAGAATTCTAACTTTTTATTCTATACATATCTGTATTTTAATTAA